TAATTCTGAACAATTTCTACCAAATGTTTGTCCTTTGCATGAACCACAATATCCTTCACTAAATTTTTCCAACACCCTCAACATCCTTGTCCTTAAATTTTGAATCAGTCTTATGGTCAAACCTATATTTTTCAGTCCCTCATGCATGTGGAACGTTATTCCACACCTTTCTCTGCAACCTTCATATGCTTTTAGACGAAGTTCCAAACTCTCATTTTCTTTATTCCATGGTCGCATATTCTTTGAGATCAAGGAGATCTTGATCCCAGATGATTCTAGAAATATCACCATCCAACATACTGTGTATGCATACCCATGATAATCATCCTCTTCCATTAGTTTCACATAGTCTCCACACTCTCAGGGCATTTCTCACTGACAAAATTCTCTTCCTCTAATTTAAATCTGATCATTTTAATTAACACATACACTTCCAATCTTCAAATCAAGCAAATCACTCTCACCAATTGCTGGATTTTTTTCTATTGCACCAACCAAGTTCGTTACACATACACATACACATTACACATTACCCATGATATCCTTTATCACCAAAACAGCATGCATAGTTACATTATTTAATCATGCCTACAATTAAACCACAACACTCAATTTCAAAACTCCATATACTAGTAAAATACCACATGCATGCTAAACATATATCCAAACCTGCAACTTACAAATTGAATTTCAAACCAAGGTAAAAAGGGTTGTTCATATATCCACACCTACTGTCACCCATAAATATCACTTGGCTGAAAGTCAATAACTCTCATGTTGTCAATAGGCATGTCAACACTTAAATCAACTAAACCAATACTACCAATTAATAATCAACAAACCAGCCCCTCCAAAATTGAGTGGATTTTCTCACAACCATGACCCATTTCAACCTACAATCCATCCATAATTTCATTCTTGGCATAACATTAAAGATGCATATAATTTCACGCAATATACCAAATACCCTTTCACCCACAAGCAATATAAACATTCCTTCAAACTAATCCACACAACGTTCATACCATGTACCATCATTGCACTTTCAAGTTCTATTTGCCAAATTCCTATAAGGAAACATTCATATTCAAATCAATCAAAACATAGCAAATCATATGTAACACATTCAACCATGTGAATAGCCACCTTAGCTAATCACCTTCAATTATAAGTCTCTAAAACATAAATCTTATGTGATTTCTAAAAATTGTGTCAATTAAGGCACAAAATTTTACAAACTCAATAGCATACCAACACGTATAATACATTAGTCGCACTTTCTACAACTAGATTGAACATATATACTAGAGAGGTTGTACCACAGGAAAAGTAACTCACAAGGCTTCAAAAACATACATTTCTTATCAAGTAAATACATCATACATGCTATTGAAATCTCCATCACACTTCATCAAAATTTGGCTAACCCCTTACTATTCCTTCTACCAAAGTTATCAAGACAATACACCCATACCAATCGAACCATACCTTACATTTATAATTCCTCCTGTGGCACAATATACATTTCATTTCCATTCCTCATACTTGGGGAAATATTATTCCACCACAGGTCGTGCGAGGTTGGCCACAGCGACTCATGCTCATGTAATAAACTTATTTCTTAAAGATAAAAACTTTACATATACATCATGAAAACATCCGAAGAATCTTAAACCTTTGCTCTATACCAAGTTGACACGACCCGTCCCGACCCCCCTTATCCCATAGGCTCCGGCGCACCCATGAGACTGCAGTGATCGAGAGTGCCATGTGAAAAAACTATAAAACCTGTTTATAAAAAATATCATAAAATGTAACGCATTGCATATAAACAAATGCAATTGGAATTTTCACAAATGAAATTTATGGTATCAGATTTTTCCATATCTTAATAATCCAAACAAGAAATAAATACATGATGAAAGAAACATAAACTTTGCAGCGGCAAACAAAATACAACTATAGAATCTATGATGAAATGAAGTCGTGTGGCCCAACCTTGAGTGAAATTCACTCCTCTGCACGATCACCTTCTAGACCTGGTGGGGGGAAAGAAAAACATTTGAAAACGAGGGGTGAGCTAGAAATGCTCAGTGAGTGGGGAATGGGTTAGTATGTAATAAAACATTTCAATATCATAAAACACTCATGCTATAAATTTCATCTCCGTATACATATTTTATAATATAAGCCATCTCATAACACTGCTGAAATCTCTCATGGCAAGACTTCTTTCTGAACACTATTATGATAAACGAATAAATACTCATGTTTCTCTAAAACATCATTTCTAAGAAACAGTTCATATGCGAATAACATTTACATTATAAGTTCCATTTTAAATAATGATAGCTACATATTCCAAACTATCTCTCAATCACATGTGAAAACTCTCACCCAACTAGTACCCTGGGGAAAATCTGTCATACCTGGTGGGCGTCCCACACGCAGGCAGAGCGAGGGACGTACCTGTCATACCCGCAAGATCATCATCGCGTGGGCAGAGCCACTGAAACTGTCATACCTGGCGAACCACTCAACGCCCAGGCGAGCCAATAAAATCGTCATACCCGCAAGATCTATCATCACACGGGCAGAGCCACTGAAACTGTCATACCTGGCGGACCACTCAACGCCCAGGCAGAGCCAATAAAATCTGTCATACCTGGCGGACCACCAACGCCCAGGCAGAGCAAATAAATCTTCATACCGGCAAGATCTATCATCGCACGGGCAGAGCCACTGAAACGTCATACCTGGCGGACCACTCAACGCCCAGGCAGAGCCAATAAAATCTGTCATACCTGGCGGACCACTCAACGCCCAGGCAGAGCAAATAAAATCTGTCATACCCGGCAAGATCTATCATCGCATGGGCAGAGCCACTGAAACTGTCATACCTGGCGGACCACTCAACGCCCAGGCAGAGCCAATAAAATCTGTCATACCTGGCGGAATCCTGCATCGCTCAGGCAGAGCCAAAATCTGTATCTCTGGGGGATGGGTACTTCGTAGGGTGGTTTTAGCACCACAGCATACTCATGCATAGTCTCAAGTAACATGTAATCAATAGCATATTTCGTATGTGCTTATAAATCATACTATTTGACTAATATTCAAAGTCACATATAAGGGTGAAACTACAATTTTCTAAACAGTTTCAGAAACGACGGTTTAACCCAGATTGAGAATTATTACTAACCTCACAAATCTGAGTCTTTTCTTAACATTTAACAGCCAAAATGCCTTAACTCCCAGCATTTTAAACACCATGGAAATCAATTTCTCAAAGACAATCCAACTGGAAGCATACAAGTGTATTTAACCAACCACTTTTAGTCCAACTACATAACTCAAGCACCTCTCAAAATGCAATCCAGCTGAGTGCATGCACCTAAAATATCTAGCCACCATCTCAGTTTTTGAAACAGCCAAATGCATGCAAGTTTAATTAGCAAGCAATTCCCTTTAAAACTCAAAACACCATTCTAGAATTTGTCCGAAAACATGCAAAGAAGAAATAAACCAAGCAAGCTTCACATTTTGCTCAAACCTCACCAAAATATATAAAAATGGCATACTAGAAAATATATCATCAAGCATAGATCTGAAATTTTTAAGGAAAGTTTTTATTAAAACCACTCACCGTTTGAAGCTCGACCCTTAAGCCGAAAAAATGACTGAAATCTTCTAATAATGCCCCCGCTTGCCTCCCTATGTACAAAATTCGTAAATCCTCCTTACATAAGTCCCCATAAGGTAACGCCTCAATATTAAATCTTGGACACTTCACACACCAAAAGATTAACATAACTTCTGCTTTAACAAAACTGTCTCATAATCGAACATCGGTTGCTCTCAGATTTTTCTTAAAAATTCTATTTCATTTTTAAGCCATAATTTTAACAGAGCGTTCTAGAGACACATAAGTTTTCCCATAATTTCTCAAGTCATTCCAGAATCAATAACTATTTAAAACACATTTCCTTTCAACTCATTCAAATCTGTCCCCTGTTTCCAAAATTGAGGTACTGACTTAAAAAAATTCATAACAATTCAGCCCTTAATCCAAAACCTCATGAAACTCTCCAAATTCCTAGACACACATAGGATTCACCAGAATTTAAAATCACTCAATTTGGATAAGAATAGATGCATCAAATCATTTTCCAAAAATACATGTTCTGCAGAAAACGAAAATTCCAGGATTCACAAGGCAACTTCAAAAATCCATATAAAATTCAATCCTTCGAATTTTTAAGTGAAATAAATTTCTAAACACTCCTCAAGAAGTCTACAACAACATATCCAAAATTTGGCTTCAAACAAAAAACCCAAAACATGCAAACAATTTTCGGAGTTCCAGATGGTCAGATTTCTGTACAATAAACCCTTACATCAAAAATCATATCTTTAACCCATTTTTGTTTAAAAACAACCTCTATGTTCTACCCACACCAAATTATTAAAATCAATCTCCCTATTTTAGTTTTGTTTTCATGAATTTATACCAAATCATAGACAAAACAATCCAAAGAGAGTTTTGAATCATAAATCACCAAAAAGAGGAAATATCAAGCTTTACTAACCTCCCATTTGCTCGATCTTCCTCCACTCTCCGATCACCGGAGTTTTGCTCGCCGACGGCCCCTTTTTCAGCCACCTCCGTCGGTCTCCTATCTCCTCTCTCCCTCTATTCTTGGTTTCATCTTTCTCTCCCTTCTTTTTCTTTTCTTTCTTTCCTTCTTCCTCTCCTTCTCTTCTTCTTCTTTCTCTCTTTTCTTTGCTTCTTCTTCCCCGTTTTTCTTTTCATTGAATGATCACTATTCATCAAAATATCTGGAAAATTTCAATTTAGTCCTCACTTATTTCGACTATCACCTTGTACTCCCCAAAACTTTCAAATTATTACACTTTACCCTAGAATCACAAAATAAAATTTAATAAAACTACATTAAAAAAAATACGGGGTATTACAATTTTTATAAAAGGATTTCAACCTGTCCAGTAGCATGATCAAGGTCAAACACTTTCGTCGGAATACTATCAACAAAGGCTTCTTTCTGTGCAAGCGTCAGAGTTTCCATTAAATCTTCACTGATGTGGATCTCTGGTTCGTACATGAAAGTGACAGTTGCAGCAGGAGACCATTTTGCATGATCTTTGCCAATCCCTTTTCTAGCTATCGCTCGAAGCCTCAGTTCTTGCGCACGACGTAACTTTACAATGATAACACCCCTAGATGCAAAATAGAAAAACTGAAGTTCCATAAGTAAACCATGGCCATGACATTGTATTGCAGTTTCAACAGAAAAAGGGAAAATCAAGTGAGAAAAAGAGAAAGAAATTTGGATTTCTTCTATGCAGTTTTTTCATAGGAAAAACATAATGAAAATAAAAAATTTTAGGACAATTCCCTGAATTAAAACATGAGTAATAGACATGTAAAACCTTGAGGCTGCCCCAATAATCAACTCTAGGCCGGGTGAAATTGAGCTCTCACAAAGAAACATAAGCAAGAACTCATTTGGATCGGCCAATATATTCTGAGCAATTTAATTCCAAGGAATAGTTCACTGATTAAACAAGACTTGGTTGCATTAGTGTTTTTGCCATATAGGACCAAATGAAGCAGAATCAAATTTAAAGGAATATGTTAGGAATAAAATATACACATTATGAGGAGAAGGACCAAAATAGCCGCAATACATGACGCAAAAGCTAACAATTCAATAGCATTATATCATCTCAAAAAATCAGGACAAAAAAAATACAGAAATTACTTATCTTTCCCAACAAATTATAGTAGTCATTCTTATAGAACACAAAGGACGCTATATTAATAAAATTAAAAAAAAAAAAAAAAAAAAAATCACCTTTGCTGATCACTTGAATCGTAGGCCGCGGGATCGGCGAAGTCGACGGGAACAACGCTATGATCGGAGCTGATCAAATCCTTGCTGGTGACGTCCAAAGTCTGGTCGCCCGTACACTTGACTCTCAAATGGAACTCCACGGAGCAATACTCGCATTGGCCGTCTCCGTCACAGGCGTCGCAGTCACGTGAGAAGCGCATTGTCATGGCTCTGTCGCTGTGAGCGGGATGAGACCGAGACGGTGCGCGATGAACTCGTCGTTGAGGACGGAAGAGTTGAAGTCGATTTCGACGAGGTCGATTGCAATGGTGGGAACCTCCGCGATCATCACGCGCCGAAGCGCATTGGCCATCGAGGCGTCGGTATCACGGAGCTCCAACTTGGCGTAGTCGTCTTCCAGCTCGCGAATTTTGACCTTGGGAAATCGCTGGTACGATAAGCTCTCCATTGTGTTCTTCCTCTCTCTGGACTGTGAGCTCTGTGTTTAAACTTGAAATGATTTTGATTTGTGGTCAGCACGCATATGAAACGGCTGTGTTTCAGACTAAACGACGGCGTTTCTTGTTTCCATTTTCCTAAGAAGGATTTTTCTATTTCCTTTAAACACTTTTGTATTGCCCTCACCTTTCGGAGCTACGAGACATGAACAGTTTAGTCCAAAAAGTAATGTCTTATTGTCTTATTTACATGTTATTAGAAATAATAAAAATAAAGTAATGTGTTAAAAATAGTCCTATATATATATATATAAAAACCATTGCTCTTATGAAAATTTGATTTTTCTAGGCGTACAGTTTACTTTTTATGTTTTTGTTATTTTGTATTGATTTTTAATAATATGTGTATAAGACAACATTGGTATTATAGACTTTTTATTGAAAAATCTCACATAATTGGACTAAATTGCTCGTATTCCATAGTATTGGAAGTAAGAAATACCATCCAAACCTTAAGGATGAAAGTGCAAATAACCCTTTTTAATAACACAGTTAAACTAGAAAATAGAGATAATAACATTAACTCTTTTGGGTTTAATTAAATAATAAAAATTCTTCTTAGATTTCTAAAATAAAGATTCTCTTCGATTACGTTCTAGGCGTTAAAATAAGGGTTTATTTCATTAACACCCTTGTAAGATAGTTTAACATTAAACCCATTCCTTTCATTCAAAAAATATTGAAAACTATCTTTGTTGTGCGTGAATTTGTTGTAAGCTTGGAGATGTCGATAGCTTGTAAAACATAAAGCCCACTGATATACAAAGCTCACTGCAATCTGAAGTTCGCAAAAAGATAGGGCTCGATTAAAACGAAGTTCATCATAACAGCTATCTGACAGATTAGAAGATAAGCCCAGATCTCCTAATATCTCGGAGGAGATAATGCCAATATCCATTTACCTCGATTTTGGTGCACCATCACAGAAATTACGGGATATATATCAAATATAATCGCAATCCCAGATTTATCTCACTTACCTTTTTGAAATTCCTCTATAAATACCCCCAAAAAATAGTGTAAGAGGATTGAGATTTATTTGAGAGAAAGAGTGTATTTTGTATTCGATCAAAGAAGAACAAATAGAAAACAGTGCACGTAGGTTTGAGGAAAAACTCGTCGAACCACTTTAAAATTTCTTGTGTCATTTTCATTTCCTGTTGATTCAGCTCACATTCTTTGCTGATTTTAATTAATCACATGTACATCCTTTTTTATTCTATCACGGTCAATCGGATCTCTCTAGTTAGTGCATTTTTTGGTATCGACATTTTGGCGCTAGAATGAGGGCCCCTGACAAGTTCTCCTATTCCCAGCAAAAAGCAATTTCAACAACAAATCTGATTACCTGAAGTTCCTTATGGCCCATACAAGAGCATCCAGAGCAGCCACCGGAAGCCACGATAACATGGATGTCATTCACCAAGAAGTGAATCAGACTGCTACTCAGAGTCACCTACCACTTGTGTCACCGCAGCAGGTAAAGGTGGGCAAAATTTTAGGGTAGAACCGGAATCGATGGGTATCAGGGTGTCGATTCCGATTCCTACCCAAAACCGACAGTAACAAGGTCGATTCCAGTTCTAAAAAATTGGAATTGATACTGTGCGGCTCCGGTTCTGGTTCCGAATCAAAGTAACCAGAACCAAAACCGGGAATTGAGACTAAATTGAGATAATATTAAAGAATATGGGTTTTTCTATATTTTGCATGTGAGGGGGTTTTTTTTTATTTATATTTTACATGTCATAGAAATATATAAGAAAATTTTGGTTTTTTTATCTTAGTATCAAAAGTCTTATTAATTTTCATTAAAAAATCAATTCTTCAAAATATTTTTATTAATATTTAAATTTCACTTATTATTTGATTAAGAAACTAATATACATTAAGACATTTATGTTAAATAATAGCTTTTAAATGTTTATTATCGGTGAAAACAAACAATTAAATACTTATAATTAAGCATCAAATAAATATAAACAAATATATTATTTAATGTTTTGCATTTAAGTCTTAGGCCTATCTAGTAGTTAAACATATTTAGTTGTCAAATAAATTATCAAATGCCACTTAAGTGAATTAAGAAAGTTAATTCTTTTTTATCTTCTACTTGATAAAAATTGTATGAATAATTGTTTAAATTATTTTGATAATATTATCATTATTTAATAGCAACAATTACCCATATGTCCGATTAAATAACTCTTTTTATAGTTATGTCATGTGTCAATACTTTTTCACTTTAAAATCTCTATTTAGCGTATTATATTCTTTGATGGAACATTTTAATTCAACTTGGTATTTTATATTTAAGTTTAAAAACTTAAAACATCGTTTAAATTGTATGACATAAAAATGTTTAAATAATAATACAGTTTACATCATGTGAGCATATATATCAAAATATAATTTTGGAAGGATGAAACTTGATATCTTATTAACTTATTATGTTATGTTATTGTGTAATTTAATGTGTTATGTAATTTTAATTTTGGGAGGATGAAATGGATATTGAAATAGTTGTAATTTTTGTAAAGTTTGTAGGGCGTATTTGTCATTTTATAAAACTATTAGGGGTGTAAAAAATTTTATAAGGGTTTATTTGTCATTTTCAAAAAAAAAATATGGGGGTAATTGATATTTTTCGGGGTTCTGGGAACCGGAACTTGTAACACAGGTTCCAGTTCTAGGTTTTTAGGAACCAAAGTCGACGGTTCCGATTCTGATTCCCGTTGATTCCGATTCCAAATCAAAGGAACCGGCCGATTCCGGTCCCTTTGATTTTGGGCGGGTACTCGAACCCACCCACCCTAGCAGTAGCTCGTCAATTAGCCAGAGGCAGGAACTTCCAACTCGGAAGGCGATTAATTAATAGATATGATAAGGTCGCTAACCAATGTTGGGTTAAATAAAAGTGTAGCAAGTCAACCCGGATCTTGATCAACTGGTATTCACCGAGCCTACCCTAAGTAGGGAGAATATGCTAGTTATTGACCAATATGGCTCATCAGCAACAAGAAATGACTGTCATCCCCAGCGAGGAAGGACGCGTGCTGCCTGTGAACATTAAACCTGGGAACATACTAATCCTGGAAGGCGACTTTTGTCCTAAATGGCGAAACACCCAACATCAGCATGCCAAACTTAACCCACGCTAAAGACAAGCTTGTCCCTCGTAGGCACACGAAGGCAGTCATGCACGCCAATTTGGCAGTTACAATCGACGTTCTGGTTTTAACTAACATCACAGGCAAGAAGCAGAAGAGTACGACGATACATACTACCTAGTTATCATGATTCCACTTCATGCACAAGTGTGCAGAACAGTAGGGTCGCAGTTAACTGACCTCAAGACTCAAATATTATAATATTGACTCTTTGTAAGTCATGTTTATCTATCAATAAAAGGTATTTTATTTTATACCACATAATTCATAATAGTATGTCTTCATATATGTCCTTAGGATGGTAGAACTATGACAAGAGTATCGAGTGTTTCAAATCTCGATAGTGAGAACCCTATGATCACATATGGTGGTCATTCTAGAAATGTATGTAACCCCAGTATTGTTCTGACTAAGGGCACAAATAATATGGTAAGGCTATCATAGTGTTGAATGCCCTGTCGAAAGGCAATTACTGATCTCACTTATCAAGGTTATTTGGTAACAATCTAGTGTAACACATGGGTACTTGTTGTAAGCAAGTTCACAGAACAGACCCACCAAAGGATTCTACATGGATGATAACCTCAGTGTCTGTGGAATAAATCATCTAACGGATGGTGGTGCATGTGATCCTTAAACTTGAAATCATTGGAACGCCTTTTGCACTAATTGGTGTCATTTAACACTAGTCCAACATAGTTCGACTCAGGACTATTAGAACGGTAGTGATTGGCTACCTCAAAAAGTGTATCAAGACTATGGTGGATTGACACTTGATTTATCACTTCCGTATACGGGAGAAATTATCTCACTTTGCAATTCGATAAATGGCAAAGATATTAAATCTGTGGCCACAGTAGGATTGAGTTGTTGTTCAATACAATTTATTATTCCAATCGTTGGTCCAATAATAGAATACAAAGAGATCAAGGATATCTAAGGTTGACACTTTTTATGTACCTCGGCCTTGATGAGACAATGAATGATGAAGGGATTTAATTGCAAGGTAACCATATCGTTGATAAATAGATATTTCGTTGAATCCGAATCTATCGGATGGTCATGATGTCTTGCTAGAGGTTAATCTTGGTTTGTGTTTAGTAAGACGATTGATTGAGTATCAATCGCATACTATTCACTATAAATATGATGAGGAGCCTTCGAGTTACATACATAGAAGACAGATTAAAGATAAATAAGTGAGAATGATATTTTCGTCTTTTAAGATGAAAAGATATTTCAGTAATCTCACAACGTAATTAAATTTGCTCAGGTCGTTGCCTATATTTAATTTCATATGAAAATTAAAATTAGTGAGATTGTGTGTGTATGTGTGTGTGTAAGTATATATTATTTAATGTTAATATTTAAAATAATGGATAATAATAATATTAATTAAATACTATAATTACCTTATTTGATTATAAGGTAATGCTATTTTAACAAAGGAATGATTTGATGGCTATTCATAATTAGATTAGGGTTATAATTAATTGCACTATTTAAGTGCAGTTAAAATTAAAAACATAAAATATAACTTTTAGTTGAAAAAGAAAGCCCTAGCAGCCCTCTCTCTCTCTCTCTCTCTCTCTCTCTCTCTCTCTCTAAGCCGTGTTCATCATTGTGGGGAGAAAAGAATTTTATGTAAAAATTGTGCACTTCTTATTCCTTAAAGCTAATTGATCTAACCAGCAAATAAATCAATTAGCAATTGTCATCCTATCTTCGTGTGGATACTGTTCGTGCATTCTTTCCCTAAAGTGAAAGCGAATCTGAAAAGCAATTGAAGGAGCTTCCAAATGCTGGTATGAAATTGTTATTGAAGTTTTAATATTTATTTCATGTTTAAACAATTGGTATAAGGATTTTGGGATTTTAGTTTGTGGCTTAAAAATAGTTTTAATTTCTGCTACGTTAAATCAATCCATAAACCTAAAAAACATTATTTTAGTATCCGCTTTGGATGAAATATGATATTGTTTTGAAATTTCTAATGAATTGTTATCATTTAGTTTGAATGGTATTCTATATGGAACTTCAAGATTACATGACTCCAAGATTACATGATGGCTAATATGTTCTTGATTTAAACAATAAGGAGATTCTCAACATGGAAACAAAGAAAGCTAACTATAGCGAACAAACCCAGACATACCTTTGGTATTGTAGGTTGGGTCATATCAATCAGGCTCGCATCACAAAACTCCACAATGATGCAGTCTTAGACCCTCTTGACTTCCAATTATTTGAGGTATGCGAGTCGTGCCTTTTAGGCAAAATGATCAAGTCGTCTTTCACATGACATGATGAAAAGGCTACATAACTGTTAGGCATCATCCATAGTGATGTATGTGATCCATTAACAGTTAAAACAAAAGATGGATATATATACTTTATCACATTTACTAATGATTTCAATAGATATGGTTATATCTATCTTATGAGACATAAATCTGAAACCTTTGATAAATTCAAAGAATTCAGAAATGAAGTACAAAATATGTTGAACAAGAGTATAAAAGTTCTTTGATCAGATCGAGAAGGTGAATACTTAAACTCTGGGTTCTATGAATACCTGAAAAAGTGCGGGATAGTATCACAACTTATACCTCCTTATACACCACAACATAATGGTGTGTCTGAAACATAAATAAGGTACATTACAAACTTAAATATTCAATACTAAGAGTTCTAAAAGCGGAAATACATAAATCCAAGTACAAAAACTGTATTAGAGTGCTCTAGAGTTTTACAAATCATGTACAAGCAACCAAATATCCAATCATTTAATGAGATATGCGAGCCGTCCTGCAAATATATACAATAATATCATATAATTCTCATTCAAACCAGCATGTAAATATGGATGCAATACTCATAACAATATAAAGTCGTTAAACATGTGAAAATATCCGTTTACAGCCCATAAAATACAAGTGCTGCATCCATGTTTCAATCTTTTCAGTTAACCTCCAAAATAACTCTCACAACTGACAGTTTCCCCCTTCTTACCCGAGAGCTCACTGTCGTGGCAGGAAAAAACTCTTGTCGCGACAGGAATGCCTCTGCCCAAAAAAGTACTTTCTTCTACCCTTCAACCCTTTACACCAAATACAAGCAATGTAGCGTATAAATTCAACATGCAAATAACCCAAAATTTAATTCTCGGCACAAACATTAAACATATACACAAAATCATACATGCGTGTCACCCATATACCAACACATAGCCAAAAACAATCAATAAACTTCATACCATCAACATGCATCTCGAATTTTATCCAAGAATCATGAAAATTTTCATTTCTAAAGCTGAATTGTAACCGGAAATTAAATACCCATGCATGCACATATAATCAATTTCATGGAAACAAAAATTTTAATGCAATTTATAGTACTATTCCACTGACAATTTCCTTTCCTTAGCTCAAATGCTCATTCCTTGCATTTTCTTCTCCTATTTGTTTCCAAATTTAGCAAAGGAATTAGAAAGCCCCAAGGAAAAGAAAAAGAAATGAATCGCAAGAGTTTAGAATACCATGTATGCATGAAAACTTACCTTTCTTCATCAAAAATCCCCAAATTTCTTCCTCTCCCTTCCTTACATTTCTCGGCCCTCTCCTCTCAATCTCTTTTAAATTTCGTTCTTCATCCAATTTTGCAACAAATGAGCTAAAGGTGCATATATATACTAGTCTGGAAAGTTTTACTTTAGTCCAAAGATCCATGGCACATTTTCATGCACACTCTAGGTCTCGGATTTTGCAATTCAGTCCGCCTGGCCTGACACAATACACATATAACAAAAGTTTGGAAAAGTTACAAATCACCCCCTGGAAAACTCTGCATGCACCCCTGGAAAAATTTGCATGCGTCCCTATTTGGCGAAATATTGGAAAAGTCCCTCATCTAATGATACTGTGCCTTGCCCCCTTAAAATATTCTCATCTTCTTGCATTCAAGTCCTGCCAAATTACTGTTGGCCTTTTCAGTTCTTATAAGCGCGCTTACCTAACACCCCCATCAAGTTTCATTGATTACAAATTACCCCCTAAAATCAAACAAATAATCAACTCCAAAATACATAGAAATACGGGGGTATTTCATAAGTCATATCCCCTCGCGCAAGGGTAAAAGGGATTTAACCGAGGTTAAAACAGGGTTCGTTGGCACCAATGGAAACAAGTTCTTTGGAAGAGCAAGTTTAGAAGGAGATAGAGGAGGAGGAGAGGGGATCTTAGGAGGGACTGAGCAGGTGGAGGGTGGAGAATTGGTAGTCAAAGGAGGGCCAGAGCTCACGGTGGCAACTATCTCATCAAAGAAGACAGCCGCCATGAGAGGGGAACAACAGCTTCGGAAACAAGATTTAAGGCTTCTGGCTGTCTAAATTTGACCTTATTATTATATATATCCATATCAGATTTTTGGCTTTGATAAAGATTTCCTATCTGTCGACAGGAGGGACCGAAAGCAATATAACATGCACGTTTCACGTAACCTCCCAGGCTCCCATTGCTAAAGATTTTTCTTTCGTAGACTAAGCATGCTGAAGAAATCAAACTATTTAGTAAGATTTTCTAGTTGATTATCTATTAGTTTTCTGATTCTGAAAAGAATTGTGTGCCCTGACTACGAATCTCTATATATGCTAATCTGAATTTTCAATTCGTGGATTAATTTGATTCATGCATGTCAGAAGATTTTCTGAATCAAAATCTTGTCTGTGCTAATCCATTATCCCATTATGTAGTTGTACCCTAAGAGAAAAAGCCAGCCAAATAAAATCAGTATACGAATTTTTATTATAATCTTTTGTGATCATATGTTAAGATCCATTATATTAGTTGTGGGTAGATTCTTGCATTAGGATTTAATGAACTCTTTTTATCAAATATTAGATATCAAATTTACCTTTCTCAAGATTAATAAAATTATTATACTAAACAATTACCTATAGTAAGCTATACACAGAGAGAGATGTGAATCTAAATTGGAAATTCAAATAATCATAGCAAAAAAAAAAAAAAAAATTCTCTTTAAATAAACAATTCTTTTATTTATTAAAGTAATATTCAACAAGGATAAGAACCAACAAATATTTAATTTTACAAGCATTAACCAAACATCTATAAAACATCACCACAATTAACAAATCAGCTTTCTATAAATTCTTATTTTACTTAGATTAATTAAATATTAACCTAGCTGGTGAGGAAGAACTGGAATGCTTTGTTCATTCCTGAAGAAATTATCAGGATCAACCTTAGTCTTGATCTTCACCAACCGCTCGAAATTTCCCTTAAAATACTTGATCCCATAAACCCTTCCTTCCAAGTAGCTCCTATTTCCATTGTGATTGACCCCCAAATCAATGTCTCTGTAATTCAGAAACGCCTGCCTCGGATTCTTGGACACAAATGGAGTCATGTGATTATAAAGCTCCCGAATCAAACCCAAATAAAAATTTGCTGCCTCACTCCCTGATTGATTCCAGTTCACTAAGTACTGCATCATCCATAAGTTTCCAGCTCTGTGCGGAAATGCCGTCGCCGATGCCGCAATCTCCGCCATTCGACCTCCGTAAGGATTGAATGTCAGCATTGTTGTCTCTAGTTCAATCATTTTCTTCCAGATTCCTTCCAGGCCATCTCTAGGAATCGGCTTTTTCACATAGTCCGACTTTCTCTTCAGGAAACTCAGCGCCGGCGTGCGGTTTAGTAAAATATTTGTTGAAGTTCCTGAATCAAAACCTCCCCAGAAAACTACGGATTCAATCCAGCTCGATTCAACACAGTCGGATTGAGTTAAACCCAGTTGAGGAAAGCTCTTGTTCATAATCGAGAGAAGTTTTTCAGAGCCACCGAGATAAAATCCCCAGAAGTTTCCCCTGACAGTCTTATTAACCACGTCTAATGTGAGTCGGACGAAGAGCTCTTCAGGAAGTATATACGCAACATGTTGCCAACGATCCACAATCTCGGTTAGATTTTGTTCGAGAGTTCTTCTCACCAGAAAAGAGTTAACTTTTTCCGGAACTTGAACAAGGTTGATTTTATAAGCAATAATGACTCCGAAACTGGCTCCTCCGCCTCCTCTGATAGCCCAAAACAAATCTTCCCCCATGGATTTTCTATCCAGAAGCCTCCCATTAGCATCAACAAGCCTTGCATCGATGATATTATCGACAGTGACCCCGTATTTTCTCATCATGTTCCCATATCCGCCACCGCTAATGTGCCCGCCAACACCAACTGTGGGACAAACCCCGGCTGGGAAGCCGTGAGTTTTACTTTTCTCTGCAATTTTATAATAAACTTCTCCAAGAATAGCCCCCGTCTGAACCCAGGCACTGTTGCTTTCGATGTCAACATCAACGGCGCGAAGATTAAACATGTCGAGGACGAAGAACGGGACTTCGGAGACATAAGATAAGCCCTCGTAGTCATGGCCGCCGCTTCTGATTTTCATCTGCAGGCCGTGTTCACGGGCACAATTGACGGCAACCTGGACGTGAGATTCATGCAATGCAGTGAGAATGAGGAAAGGTTTGGGAGTTGAAGTTGAGTTGAAGCGGAGATTCCGGATATAGGACTGCAATACAGACGAAAACGAGGCGTTTTGTGGAGTGAAAATGGCGGGGGAGATTGGATGAGAAGGCTGAGAATGGTTGAGAAGACAATGGAGGAAGTTTTCATGGACGGAATCTGAAGTTGCTCGCCATGAAAATAATGAAAAGAGAACGAGAATTATTGAAAGTAATGAAAGTTTTGAAGTATTTGTGAAATTTTCCATTTCTAGGTATTGTGTTTTGTGTTCATGGGTCGTTGTTGCTATTGTATATATAGAGTAATTTGATGGAGTAAGCCATCCATCTCCTCCCAATTTGACCAAGAAAATTCAAATATATGTGTGTGTGGAAAGAGACGTATTTTATTAGTCTTTGACATTTCTTCATTACAAAATGGTCAATATTATTATCGGTAAAAGGCATCGTTACCATTTAAAATTAATGAATAATGATATGATTATTGATTAGTACGGTTGACATAATACTCATGTGAGATTATAAATTTTCTCTAGTTTGATAACAAAATTCTTATATCAAAATGAATTCCTTACCTTGTTTTACTGGTATTATAAGACTGTTTAATACTATATTTTTAATGATATGTGCTATTATATATGTGTGTGTTAAATTTCTTTATTTTATGTAGTTCATTACCAAGATTCATGAATAATTGTTTACTATCCTTTGTTAATAACCTTTACTATGATAAATGAATTGAAAACTAACAACAATGTCTTTATTTTTTTGGACGTTTCACCAAGTTAACAAAATAAATCATGTTATTATATACTACCCTTCTAAATTTTAATACACATATTATTGTTTTATTTTTATATTTTAATGATATGAGGTGTACGAATCAGCTTACAGGTACCTCAACTAATCCTCCAGGACCTTGGTTTTAATAGTCGAATAAAAACTCTAGTAACTACCCCTATTAATAATCGAGGATAGACTCTAATTCAGTACTTCTTAAATAATACACCTAAGAGTCATTATCAAATCATTTGATCACCCAGAGGTAATTCATATTATTGATTTATTGTATGCCTCGTCACGTTGAGAAAGTGAGAAAAAAAAAAAAAAAATTGGTTAAGCAATTAATGATAAGAATAATTTGATAATAAATTAGTATAATGTCATGCTCACGTTTGCTTTGTCACGGCCACAAATAGGTTAAAATACTGCTGGAAGAAGATAAAGAAATAACGATTAATAATTAATTAATTAATTAAGTAGAGAATTATATATTAGTGCATGTGTAGCTTATTATTATTTTTATATTATTTCAATTATTTGAAGTCAATTCAATATTTTCATCTTTGAATCATACATTTTGATGGTTTAAAATAAAAACATATACTAATAGAAATATTTAATATGATAAAAAAAAATTATACTAATGAAATTATTTAAGTGGTAACGTACTTAAGTATCGTGTTTCTAATAAGAGTAAACGACTATTTCCCACCCAAGGTTTGCCTCAATGACACTTCCCTATCCAAAAAGTTTCAAAATAATATTTTTTCACCCAAAATTTCTATTCCAACTAATATCCGATGAATTTCGGCATCTTTGCAACCCTACAGCATCACCATTCTCTTTCCCGATCACTACTCACCAAAACGCTTCAAATATTGCTCTCTCCAACCTTGTCAATCACTGGTAATCGAGCGATTTGTGTAACGAGCAACTGCCCCTCCCAAATTAGATTCTGACCAATCTCAACCACCAAAATTCAACCTACCACCTCCAAAAGACTCATCAACATCCCCTTTTTAAAAGTCCCAATAGCCTAGACCAATTTTACTCTCTGTTGACTATCGAATCGAAAAGTGTAATCTAAATAGTAAACGAAATATAAACTTTAGGTGGAAAAATGATATTTTGCAATTTTTTAGGTGGGAAAATGTATTTAGTCAAACGTTGGGTGGGAAAGAGCCGTTTACTCTTCTAATAAACATATACATTACAAATTTATTCGTTGGCAATATATATGAAGTATCGTGTTTCTAACTTGTTCATATTATTATAACTATATGCTATTGAAAAATTAATTCGATTATTACACGTATCATCCATCCCCTATCATATATAGAAATTGATAGTTCCGTAGCCTATTTTAGAATTCCCAATCCATCAATCAAATTTGTAAGATTGAGTTTCGTGACAAACATATATCCACTGGAAATCATTGGCGTGGATTTTGTAAATTGAAGTACAAATATAACAAGCTATTAAATAGTTTAATTATTTTTAAAATATTACTGTATGCAAAAAGACTGAGCGAGCTGCTCATTGTCATACACATAGAAGGGGAAAAGAAATACAAATTGGAGTCTCATGTTCGAAATTTCAATTCATCTGCGATACGTTTTTGGAATTTTGGGAAATAACTGAAGACTTTAACTGATGTTGCAGATTGTGAAGCAAATACTGGCCTCATGTTTTCATGATTCAGCTTACACCCTTATAGATGGTCAATGTTTTATCCTTACCTAAATTCAAATATTAATTAGTTAGGTATCACCATCGGAAATTCAAGTTGTATTGATGCTATTTGTATCGACACAATACCATTTAGCTAGAATATCACCGATCTTACAAAGCTAAACAAAGTCGTAAGATTCAGAGAGTATTACTATGATGAGTATCGTCATCATACAAGTTTACAATACTTTTTTTTAGTTGTATATTTAACCCTTTTGAGTAAAAAGAAATATGGTGTTTGATCCTTCGTTTAAAATTTAAAATTAGTACATGTTACTCAAATCTTATTAATTTTTATACAAACTATAGATTATAATTTTGATATATATTAAAAAAAAAAAAAAATTAGGTGATGTAACCAAATGAAATGGTCAATGAATTGAAATTTAATTAGATAAGGTTTAAACAAATTTAATAAGACTGAAAATGTCATAGATTTTATCTATAAACTAAAGCTTTGACATTATTAATTATGTTAATTCAATCTCAGGTTGGTTTTTATTTGACCAACCCGGGTTTTGATTTGACTCTCATATTAATTAATTGATTAATAAAGCCACGTGCATGGTTAATTCAACTGTTCAACAAAGAAAAAGTAAACCATTTCGATCCACCGAAAATGAAAGGAAATCCTTATAAATAATTTAAACTCAACCCAATTACACACTTCAGTAAACCATAATATATATTAAAAATTAAGTTATTATTCTTAAATAATTAAATGTTTTCAACTTCTGTTGTGAATTTTTGACTAATTGCCAATAATACAATTCATAAATTACTGTGATTTCTGCTTCTTTATATATATCAGATTGCACCAACATGCACGTTATGTATCAAGCTTGCCGGACTCACCAAATCATATAATCATTGAAAAATTATTACAACAAAGCTGATATCCTCTTTTATATATCAAAGTCAGGCGGGATGGCTAATTGATTATAAATCGAGTCAATTCCAGAGCCTGGAGTGTGAGATCATGAATGACTACATAAACTAACCTTTGAAGTATTCGTATTTTATGCGTTCATAATACTTAATTTGTCTTCACCAATTTCCTAAGTTTTTCCAAGAATATTCTGGTCCTTCTGGATAACAAGTAACTAGGGGCGCAACCAGGATTCCAATATTGAAGGACGAAATATATTTTTATGTTCAACTAACAAAGCTNAATCTGAAATAATCTTAAATTGGAAGAGGGTTTTAATTTTTTTAAGGAAAAAAAAACATTGATTCTTTTTAAAAGAATCTTTGAACATAAACAAGAGTACAGAAATAAGGTTTTGATTAATAAAAAACTTATTCAAACATTTAATAATAATAATAATAATATGAGATGTAATTTCTTGGAAATTAATGAAATTAAAGGTGTTACATTTTAATTAATTAATTAATTATTATTACAATTTCAAATATGCTTTCAATTTTTTTTAAGAAAATATTTATATATTAAGGTTATCATTTAATTCACCAATTGAAAATATCTCATTTTTTAATTTTAATTTTTTTTGTCTTGTCATTCTATTATTTTCATAAATTGTCCCCACTTGTAAAGTTGTAATGTAAAAAATCCAAAAAGTAGATCTTTAATAAAACCCTTTAAAAATCTTGTCCCAAAAGGCTCCCCTAAAGAAGCTAAAATACAATGTATTTGATTAGAAACTTCCCATTGAAACTATTCCTTAAAACATAAACAACGACTTGAATCTTCCTTGAATTTTGGACTGATCATATTTGTTGATAAACGAGTTTAAAAAGAACCACGCCCAAAAATTAGCTCAGGAAAAAACCCAACTATATATATATATATATATTTCATAGGAGCTTATCCATGATAATGCGCGATAAATACAATTTGTAATATACTTTCTTATGCTTGACGGACATAACCAGAGTTTAAACCTATCCAAACAAACCAGATTTTGATACTATAATAAACGAGTTTGGGTATAACCCAGACTCACCCCCTAAAAACTAATTCAATAGAGGTGAGAGTCTAATCACATATATATATATATATATATATATATATATATACACAATTTGTAAATAATTTTTACTTCTATCTACAAGGTGCCTTTGATCTAGATAAAAGTAACCTTATCCTAATGCTACCCTATGTATGGACTTTGCTAATGATTTGAAGGTTGTTTGAACCACGATTTAATGATCTAAATGAAAAAGTAATGTTATATGATAAAATAACATATCCTCATAATCGAGAAAGTGTTACTTTATATAAACTTTAATCATAATATAATTTAAAGGTTATTCGAATAGGGCTTAAATGATTCAGATGAAAAGTAACATTATCTTGACAAAATAACATATTCTCATAATCAAGATAATATCATACTTTATACGCTCTGATCATAATTCAAAATCTGTTCGAATTATGATTCATACCTCAATAAATAACATACTCTCTAACTAAAATATCCTCCAAATTTGTGGAACCTACAGGTTCCCTACTATCTACACTAGAATATGAATATGAAATATTAAGGCTCAGTTTGGTTAGTTTTTGGGAATACTATTATTAGTATTCCCAAAAAAGTTAAACAGTAAAATGTCAAAAAACTCACAATATTATCAATATTATTCAACTTTTTTTAAACTCCTTAAATTTGTTAATTTAATTAAATACCCCTAAATATTTTTTTTTGAAATTATAAAAACACCCCTAAACCCACATTATACCAGATTTCGGTGGTAGGATGGCACACTACTGGCTGAATTTGGCCGGTAGTGCGCCGATCTAGCCTTTTTC